CTATCATAAAGCCTTCTTGAGTGTCAGAAAATCTGGGTTGCAGTAGATTTAAGTGAATGTTAGGTGGCCCAGGTGCATGTAAGAAGGCCTAGAAAAGTGTCAGCTGAGACAATTGCATGCCACCAGGCCTAGGTAATTGTAGGTGAGCACCAAATTGACCTATCTGAATGTCGATAGACCTGGGTGAGTGCAATACGACACTCATTTGGTTGTCAAAGACGACTTATTTGAGTGTCACATGACACTCATTTGAGTGTCGGTAGACCAACGTGTGTCAGGAGGTTAATGTCAGGAATTTAGTATTTGAAGGTGTCAGAAAAATAGCATTTGAAGATGAGTGTCAGGAATTTATTACCAGAACGTTGGTGTCAGGAATTACTGTGATTGGTGTCGAGAGATTATGTATAAGGTAGTGTTACGTGGTTAATGTTAAGAGCGAAGTGTTAGGTGGCTCGTTTTAAAGTGCTAGGTAGCTCGTGTTAAAATGTTAGAGTAAAGAGGTTAGTGCCAAGAGATTAGTGCAAGATTAGTGTCAGGTTAGTGCCAAGGGGTTAGTGTCAGAGCGTTAGTGTCAAGAGATTAGTGTTAGGGGTAAGTGTAATGTTAGTGTCAGGTTAGTGCCAGGGTAAGTGTAAGGTTAGTGTCAGGTTAGTGCCAGGGTAAGTGTAAGGTTAGTGTCAGGGGTATGTTAGTGTTAGGGTGTTCCTATTAGGAAATTAGTGTCAAAAGGTTAGTGCCAGGAAGTTAGTGTGAGTATAGTATAAGTTAGTTAGTGTCTGAAACTTAATGTCATAAAGTAGTGTTAGGAAATTTGTCAGGAGACTAGTGCCATCAAGTTGATGTGGTGTGTCAGGAGGGTAGTTTCATATAGTGTCTAACTTAGTGTCAGTGAAGGCCTCTTGATCCAAGGAATTGCAGCTACCTTCTCCTTGAAGAATGAGACACATATATTGACTAGTATATTAATGTCAGTCAGTTGTCAGTTGGTTGGTGTCATAAAATTAATGTGACGTAGTTTGATTAGTAAAACACAAGTGCAGCATGAAACTCTTTATTGTCTGAATTATTATACTGGTCAACAGACTTATTTAAGCTAATATCGAGGTGACTTACAAATGTTAGACAACAGAAACAGTGGAGAGGTTAATATTAGTTCCTCAGCTTTGATGAAGAAGTAATTTTGCGGTGGACTTCTCTACGGCCTTGAGAAATGTTCATCAATGATCACTTATTGTTGAGGCGATACTTTTCTATAATAGAGGTTATTCAGTTGGTACACATGTGTTTTAATCGTATATAAAGATACTTCATAGTAACCCACATGGAGACAGAAACACAGGAGGTTGATTGATCTATATTTCAACCTCCTTCACGGATCTTATTCAGCAGATACCTGCTGAAGAGGTTCCCAGAAGGAGGTCGTAAGATATAGATCAATCAACTTTCTTTGTTCTGTCTCCATGTTTGTTATTATTAAACATTAACAAGTGTTCATTACATTTTAGTTATTCATAAAGATACTCGTCTGACAGAGCAACATTACTGTGTCTTGGTAAGAAGAACATCTACAACGTTATTGCTACGTCACTAGTTGTGAATGAAAAGGGATGAATTTGAGACGAACCTGCCTAGCATGGGCCATTAAACCTGCTGCTGTACTCCTTAGCTCATATGATTTTAGTGGTAGGTTTCACCTTATATGATATTCTCTTAAAATCTACACATCACTTCTGACTCCAGTATAATAGACCATCTCAAAATTGCTGTTTCTGCACTGCTTCTGCTGTCTTCAGTAACATAAGTCACATCACCTCAGTACTCAACTTAAATCCTGCTGAGCGAGCGAAACATTGCAAAAATAAAGACTGGCAAACTCTTGCACATGTCTCTCATCTACTTGTCAGTGATATATACCTCTTATATATTGATACACATGGTTAATATCAGTAATTTGCCGTCATTAAAGAGGGTTGTGCCAGGAGGCAGGTTAGCGGCAGGAAGTTATCGTCATGATAATGGTGCCAGGGTAGTGTCATGATAATAGTGCCAGGGTAGTGTCATGATAATAGTGCCAGGGTAGTGTCATGATAATAGTGCCAGGGTAGTGTCATGTCTCTCCTCCGTCTTGTTGTCAAGTGTTTGTCTATAAATGGTAACCAGTAGCGACATATAAAGTGTTTTCATGGAGATCCTGAAGCTTCAGTGACACACGTCAAATGTATGTAACAATTTGTTTCATATTCTAAATATTTCTAAGGCAAATTTTGGCATATAAGAACTTGATCATTGACAGAGAGAGAGAGAGAGAGAGAGAGAGAGAGAGAGAGAGAGAGAGAGAGAGAGAGAGAGAGAGAGAGAGAGAGAGAGAGAGAGAGAGAGAGAGAGAGAATAATATTTTTTTCACATTCTTAGTAAAATTGAATCAACTGGAGCGTCTGAGCGTGCAGAATACTTCCTCAATGGAGATGTCACATTCGACCGCTACATGAACCATGACGAGGTTAGTGACTTCTTTTTCCGTTCATCTCTTCCTCTAAATCTCCTCTTGCTCTCTCTATCTCTCTCTTTAAGACAGATTTCCTTCAGCATTAAGAGCTTCTACCAACTCATCTTATTTTCATCAACAATTTTAAAATTTGCTCCTAGCATTTCCTTTATTATTTTTTTATTATACTGAAACATACAAATAGGGAAAACGTTAAGATGGCGCCAGCTGTCGGTCACAGATCTAAAATGGCAATTTTTACACAGGTTTTTACAAGGTTAGGTTAAGGTTCCTAACTTTATTTACAGTCTAAGACCTGTTACCTATATCGGCTCATTTGAAAGTCTCTTTTTTTTTTATTTTTATGAGACAAAATGAAACTGAAGCCAAATTTTGGGCCAGCGATTTCATTTGATCAACTGACTTTATGTCGTTGATATCATTATGCTGTACGAACATGTTCCAGACATGAGTCATCTTAAGCATAAATGATCTTGGATCATTTATTCCTAAATGATGTTCTGGAGAAGAAAACAGTGACGTTGATGCTTGCTGTCCGTCTTGTTAGTGTGGTACTTTGACAATATTGGCCTTGTACATAACAGTAAGGCCCAACACATCCCTTCTGTGTTGAAAATTCAGGCAGAGTCCAGGAGATAGATGAGGCGTCCTGCTTTGTTGTCTATTCTGTCAAGAAGTCGCAGATGAGACGGAGGGTAGGCACTCCAAGAAAGTGGAACATACTCAAAGTGTAAGCCTACTTGTGCCTCATATAGAATCTTGCAACCGGTACTGTCTAGGAGTTGCGAGATACGTCGAAGTGCTGGAAGCTTCGAGGCCGCTTTATTTGCAATATTTACAAATATCAAATATCACCCCAAGGATATCAGTTTCGTCCCCGGGTGCCAACACTCTCCCATTCATTCTTATACTGCTCCAGCATTACCATCATCTGTGTTTTCTCAGGAGAACATGTGACCTCCCATTGTCTTCCCCAGACTGATATAGCTGCTGGTAATTGTTGTTATTTAGAGCAGCTGGCATTTTCCCTCTTGAATAAGTATTTGTCATGAGTACAGTCGTCTGCATATACATGGGATCCTGGGATGAGGTGAAGGTCATTGAAGTAGACATTCCATAACGATGACACAAGTACACTTTCCTGTGGAACATTTGAACCTATAGGATGTCTTGCTGACTCTGTCCCGTTGAAAACTCTGCTTAGAGAGCAACCTTGAAGGTAATAACTGACGAGGCATAGTGTAGAGCCTGCATTTGCCAATGCTTGCATTTTGCCAAGAGTCCCTGGTACCATACCCGGTCGAAAGCACCAGCAATGTCCAGTGCTACTACACAGCTGACTTTAGATTCATCCCGTGTCTGGTGTCACTTGGTGGTGAGGTTTAACAGCAGATCAGCAGCAGAGTAACCTTTCCTGAAGCCATACTGATGGTCACGAAGAAGCGAGTGGCAATCGAAAAACAATATTATCTGCCGAGAGAATGGTGTCGCAAGAATCTTGCCAGTGACAAGAGTGACGCTGGTCTGTAGTTGGGGGTCTCGGCTCGGCTTTTCTTTTGTGAAAAGGGATTACATTTGCTTCTTTCCATTTACAACACGTTGCTAGGCAATGCTGATAGGTGCAAATTAGAGAGAATGAGAGCTGGTCGCTCTCATTCTCTCTCTCTCTCTTTCTCTCTCTCTCTCTCTCTCTCTCTCTCTCTCTCTCTCTCTCTGTCTTTCAAGCTCTCTGGTTTTGTATTTCAGGTCTTGTGGAGGTTTCAGATTAACAGTGACGCAGGTTATCTTCCATGCCTTGCATGACTGTATTATGTTCAACTTGAGTAATCATAACGGGAAATATCACTTCAGATCCAAGCTGAAATTCAGTGATGTTAGTTATTAATGCAATTTTTTCTACTCAGTTTGTGAACTGGAAATTCCTTAGAATGTTACACATAAACCATAGTTTAGAAAAGTTCAGAAAAGTGAAGACCAAAACCTGCACGAAATTAAATTTTCAATGCTATTACACAGGAAAAAACAGATTTACATATATAACAATAAATTACAAGAAATACGTAAAAACAACATAAACTTATTCCAACTCTCGGTATAAAGGATTGTGATAGTAGGTTAGCATTTACATCATATTATTTAAACTATATAATAGTTAACTGTACTCTGTATAATGAGTGTTAACTTTACGTATTTTGATACAGCTACAAGATGTATTTTGATCATTACAGGATCCGAGAATTGTATCCCTGATTTGCATAATCCCAGTTCGTTGTTACTCAGTGCAGACAATACCAACAGTGAAGCATAAGTGTCTAATCCAGGCAAATATTAGCAGTGAAAATTTGAAGTTTATTAGTAGATTCATTCAGAAGTTAATAATGGAAACTTAGGACACACACACACACACACACACACACACACACACACACACACACACACACACACACACAGTACAAAAACAACACTGCATCGAAAGTTAAGTCTGACCCGAAACTGCTGTATAGCCACATTAGGAGGAAGACAACAGTCAAAGACCAGGTGATCAAGCTGAGGAAAGAAGGTGGGGAACTCACAAGAAACGATCAAGAGGTATGTGAGGAGCTCAACATGAAATTCAAGGGAGTATTTACAGTAGAGATAGGAAGGGCTCTGGGATGACAGCACAGAGGGAAACACCAACAGGGAATATACCAACAAGTGTTGGATGACATACACGCAACTAAGGAGGAGGTGCAGAAGCTGCTAAGTGACCTTGATACTTCAAAGGAGGTGGGACCGGACATCTCTCAGTATGTCCTTAGAGAGGGAGCAGAGATGTTTCAACACATCCCTTGAAACTGGGCAGCTACCTAAGGTATGGAAGACGCCAAATGTGGCCTCCATTTTTAAGAAAGGTGACAGAAACGAGGCACTAAACTATAGACCAGTGTCACTAACGTGTATAGTATGCAAAGTCATGGATAAGATTATCAGGAGGAGAGTGGTGGAGTACCTGGAACGGAACATGATTATGAATGACAGCCAGCACGGATTCATGGAAGGCAAATTCTGTGTCACAAACCTTCTGGAGTTTTATGACAAAGTAATAGAAGTAAGGCACGAGAGAGATGCGTGGGTTGACTGCATTTTCTTGGACTGCAGGAAGGCCTTTGATGCAGTTCGTCACAAGAGATTAGAGCAGAAGCTAGAGGACCAGGCACGTATAACAGGAAGGGCACTGCAATGGATCAGAGAATACCTGACAGGGAGGCAACAACGAGTCATGGTATGTGATGAGGTATCGCAGTGGGCGCCAGTGACGAGCGAGATCCAACAGGGGTCAGTCCTAGGACCAGTGCTATTTTTGGTATATGTAAATGACATGATGGAAGGGATAGACTCAGAAGTGTCCCTGTTCGCAGATGATGTGAAGTTAATGAGGAGAATTAAATTAGATGAGGATCACGCAGGACCACAATGAGACTTGGACAGGCTGAACACGTGGTCCAGCAACTGGCTTCTCGAATTTAACCCCATCAAATGCAAAGTCATGAAGATCGGGGAAGGGCAAAGAAGACCGCAGACCGAGTATAGTCTAGATGGCGAAAGACTGCAAACCTCGCTCAAGGAGAAAGATCTTGGGGTGAGTATAACACCGAGCACGTTTCTGGAAGCACTTATCAACCAGATAATTGCTGCAGCATATGGGCGCCTGGCAAACCTGAGAATAGCTTTCTGATACCTTAGTAAGGAATCGTTCAAGTTACTGTACACCGTGCAAAGGTTTGCGACAAGGTTAGTTCCAGAGCCAAGGGGAATATCCTACGAAGAAAGGTTAAGGGAAATCGGACTGACGGCACTGGAGAACAGGAGGGTCAGGGAAGACATAATAACGACATACAAAATACTGCATAGAGTAAACAAGGTGGACAGAGAGAGGAAGTTGAAGACTCAGATGAGTCAAAAAGATGTTAGGAAGAATTTCTTCAGTCAGTAAGTTGAATAGTCTAAGAAATGATATAGTGGAGGCAGGAACAACACATAGCTTTAAAACGATGTATGATAAAGCTCATAGAACTTTATCATGTGAAGTGGCTGGGCCAGGAGCTGGCCCAGCTACTTCAGGCCCAGCTGTAATACGAGAATGACATAGCATCAACAGCCAAATCTAACCCAAAGATGTTATACTGCCTGATCAGGAGGAAAACAACAGTCAATGACCAGGTAATCAGGCTGAGGAAGGAAGGATGAGAGCTCAAAGGAAGCGACCAGGAAGTATATGAAGAGCTCAGCACAAGATTTAGGGAGGCATTTACAGTGGAGACAGAGAGGCTTCCAGCAAACCAAAGAGGTAGTGTGCATCAGAAAGTCCTGGACACACTGTGCACAACTGAGGAGGTGAAGAAACTGCTAGGCGAACTAGATTCATTGAAGCAATCTAGTTCAGGACCCAATGAGAGATGACGTCTCTCACTGGGTCCTAAGAGAGGAAGCAGATGCAGTATGTGCGCTGCTCACACGAATCTTCAACAAATGTATTGAAACTGTACATCTGGATGAGGTGTGGAAGACAGCAAACGTTGTCCCAGCTTTTAAGAAAAGAGACAGACAAGCAGCATTAAACTACAGACCAGTGACACTAACATATATAGTATGAAAAGTCATGGAGAAGATTATCAGAAGAGTGGTTGTCATACATGATAACCAGCACAGCTTCAGGAAGGGAAAATCCTGCATCATAAACCTATTGGAGTTCTATGACAAGGTAACAGAAGTAAGACAGGAAAGAAAGGGATGGGTAGACTGCGTTTTCTAGGGCAATAAGAAGGTTTTCGACAAAGTACCTCACTGAGACTGGTTGAAAAGCTAGAAGAACAGGCAGGAATCGCAGGGGAAAGTACTGCAATGGATCGAGGAATACCTGACAGGAAGGAAACAACGTGTGTTGGTATGTAACGAGGTGTCGGAGGGGGCGCATGTGTCGAGTGGGGTTCCACAATACTAGGGCCGGTGCT